AGACGCACCCCTGTGGTGTGCGGCTGCTAGCTTGTCTGATAGTTCATTCTCTACTACCTGTTCTCCGTTTCTTCTGTAGAGAATAAACTGTTTCTTCCACTCTGGCCTCCCATGACTTCTCGTCTCCTAAGGAACTGGGCCTGAAGATCGCAGTTGCTAGGGTTTAACTTACTTAGTCCCCTGCGATAGGACAGGTCCGCACAATGTCCGGAATCAACCATGTGTGCGAGAGTAGCACTGTATACGTTCTTAACTTCCCCTTTCCTCAGCCATGTTGGGATCTCTTTCACCATTTTTTTGGAGAGGCGACGACTCGTTTTCCTATACATATACTGGCCCAATTAGAATTTATCGAGAGCACGCGTAGGCCCGTCAAGTGGTCTTGCAACACTTTGTTGGGAATTATCGCAACTCTTAAACCACTCTTAGTCACCTACAGACCTGCATTATACCTCAAAATATGTTCTTTGGAAACCTATTAAAACTGGATATTATGTGGTTTGCTTTCATATTGACGTTGAGATGACTTTGAAGATTGACAGATGGCCAGATGAAGTCGCAACTCTAACAAAAGTACTGACATTGGCTAGTGCTGTACTGGTAACTTGATCCGTTAGAGAAGTTTAGGTAATTTAAGATAATGGTGCTTGCATGTCTGAAAGTCAATCACACGTGGCATAGCTTTCGTTTCACTAACAACTTCACCTCAATGCATGGATATGTGACGGTGTCTTTCAGTAAACCTTGAACCCAATGACCAAATTGAATACAAGTTGAATAATAACTGCTAGTCATCGTGAAAAATGGAAACACGAAGGGGACATATGAACAAACCTCAGCATTTGCTGGTTTCCTCTTGAAATTGGAAGCCGAGCGCATGTTCTTGTCCTTCTGGATAAAGTGTGTTGCTAGTAGAAGCAGATCGTTTTCCAAAGTTCTGAAAACAAAGCACACATCCAATAAATCTGTACGATTAAAAATATCGATTAAAGAAAACAGTATACTCAGTATTTAAACCACCACGACTCAACAGAAGACGAAGGCACAAGGTTGCTTTTAACGACCGCTGATTGTTTGCACGAGATTCCAAGTTCATGGCTAAGTCCATGCATGGAGACCAATGCAGGACTGCCCTGAATGCTTTCCAACTTAGCATAAAGTCGGTTATAGAGAGGATTGGCCTATTTAGGCCCGCGCGCAAGTCTCTGGTAGAGAACAAGGTTTGCAGACGTCCAGGCCTCAAACAGTGCTTTTTAGTTAAATTATTTTCAGCAGTCGTCATTAGACTTACGTCTATACAGTCGCAGTCCATGGTCAGTTTACAGGGTCTGGGCAGCGACTTAGAGCAATGGACCACCAACAAGCTGGTGATAGCAGGAAGTGTCGAGAAAAAACAGCATATATTTTGTCCATTTGCAAAGAACGGCTGGCCTCCAACCTCCAGTGCCAAACAGGCCAACGTATGATATCATCAAAGTTTTGACACTTTATCCCGTACACCAGAAAGGCCTCTTGGGTGGTTGAAGGTATAGTAGCTACAGAGCTTGGTACTGATGTCGCCAATTAACCAGAATTTTTCGTGCAAAAGAAAACTCGGGAGACACTCCAGCGGGGTACAGATGAACAATGAGATGTCCGTTTCCAGGCTTCAAGCCACAGGACAAATCACTTCAATACTGAATTCAAAAATATACGCGTAAAGGTTGGTTGCACTTAGGGTAGACCCAGGTCGCCGGACATATTCTGGGACAGCTCACACATTCGACTTCGCGTAGAGAAAGAAAATAACATAGACACGGAAAAAGAGGTCAGAGCTACCTAGGGTTTGACCTTGTGAGGGTAAATAAAGAAGCCAATATCGATATCTGCCTGACATAAACGCCAAGTGGCAGGATCCATGTTTCAGCCACGGACCCACGCGATAAGTCCCATAGCAGCTGATGTACTACTGCTTTTCAGTTTTATTAGATCAAGTACTACCATACGGTTTCGAAAAGCCCACCAGATATAAAAATTATTCCGGCAAACGAGTGACCTTATGCTTTTAATCGAAAACCAAAAAGGATAAAATCTTTGTAAATAACGGCCCATAGCGACCGCAGAATGCTTACGTCCATCATCTATTACTTGCAAAATATAAACTTTTAAAATTGTGAATTGGCTGTGGAAATAATTTCACGGTACTACTCTTTAATCGAAAACGTCTTTCTTTCAGACAAGCTATTTTTGTCAGTTTTTTGTAAGCGGTCTAGGGTAGACAAAGTCATAAAGCATTATATCAGGTGAATACTTACTTCATGTCTTCAAGAGCGCAATCATATACGATCCAGTAGCCCACTTGATCCCGCACATGAATGCGATGATCTTCGTGATAGTAGAAATCGTCGTGATTTTCAACATCAGAGAATTGAATGAATTCAGATTCTTTGATCCTGAATGATATGCGAGAGGGTGAAAGTGGCTAATTAGTTTCCCAAAAGACTACTTGTAACAAATTATCTGGTCAAAATGTGAAAAGACTTGCTAGGAGAGGTCAAATCCCAAAGCCACAGATGCTAAAAGGAAAAGGAGCGTGTTTTGACGGCGTCTGCTTATGTCAAACACAGAGGTTCTGGACGTTATTCTAACCAAATTATTATAACGTGCAGTTCCTGTGCAGATATAAGCCCATGTGTTTGTTTATATGTTTAATGATATAATCATTAAGTGGAGCAGTAACGCACAAAAGCCAAATGTGATAATCATTCACAGATTGTATCTGATTACAGAGTGGAAAACCAGCATTCGCTTTTTTCTCGAAGTTGTGGTCTAGAGACTTTGCGGCAGGTATCATAGCGACGAGCAATCAATAATCTATAATCCGCACCAAATACGTGCTAGTAATTATAATTCCCATTTCTTACTTATTTGTCATGCACAGTCAGTTCTTAACTACTTACCGCGGGGAAAAGTCCAGAGTTTTGAATCCGATGGAATGAGTCATTAAGATCAACACTATCATTAAAGCACTGAATGAGGTTCTATCGGCCGCGATCTAAAGTATGCAAGTTCTGAAAAATTACATAGAAGTACAGAGCAGATTTTGATTTTTTCCGGTTGTTTGGCTAGTGGATACTTTCCTTGAACACAAGGTCATCCTTGAAGTGCTCTCCTAGCGGTAGTTCCATATCTTACGTTGTCGTGGCCCTTTATTACAAATTGCCCAAAAGGAAATATCACCTACGAAGTAGGGAAAATCCTGTTACGAAGGGAAACAGGAAGACAAGAAACCAGGGCTTGCTGGCAAGTTCTGAGAGGACAGGAATAGTGTACCACTAACAGGACTAAAGAGCAAACTAAAATGAAGGCATATAAAAACAGCCCTCTTAAGGTGCCCTAATTTTATTTTTGCCAGTTTGGTTTTAAACTGAGTAGAATTTCGTTCTTTTATTAAAGGAGAAAACGAACGTAATTTGTGGCTATAGGCTTTGGATCACTATCAGCGTCTGCAACCATCGGTATCTTATCAAAGCAGTTACTTTACAGGAGTATTTTCTGCCTGCTTACCTGAACTCCCTTGGCGTGTTAAAGAGGTAGCCATGTCCGGTCAAATTATTGGCTCCCCCTTGATGTCCTTGAAGTTCGGCCTGCGTGCGATGATTCTGCGGGCTCCTGCACGAACGGTTCGAAGGACAGATTTAAGAAGTAGGTAGAAAATAAAAATGTAGTTTAGTTTTCCAACCATAAATAGAGTTTTCAGTAAATTCTAATTAATGTTAGGTGGTTTGCGATCTTGTACTGCTCGCCTGCCTTCGAAGTCAAACTTATAGATTACCAACTTCTCATATATGTATCCAGTGCTTCGTTAATAATTATTAAAACATGTGCAAATGGCAAGTTACGCAGGTTCAGAAAAGACAGATTTAATCGCAAACTAGCAGCAATCGTCATTTCTAAAGAAAGATTTTTCAAGGACTTTGGGCCCTTCATATTCACACCTACTGTAAGACATAATTAGTGACTATTTCTGTAGAATTTGCATTCGGATGAGACAGGCTTCATTAAGATAGAGTATCAGTTAGCAGTGTTCAATCACTGTAAACTGATAAGTAGTTTCGATCACCGGAATCGTATTTTATTAGTCTCAGCTCACGGCACTGGTGGTTTTGTCCCTCTCTTCCTCCCCCCTCCCCGCCCCTATGACGGCTTATTGACTCCTTTCCCCTGTTAATGTTGCCTGCATTCGTTGACGGTTAATTGGTCCCTTCCTCCTGTAAATGTTGCTTGCTTTCGTTGACGGTTTTATCTCTAAAGATGGACTACCGCAAGAGTTTGAATGCTCAGACTGATAAAATTATGATTCCGGAGATGGAGACTACTTCTTCTCAATCTTTACACATGCATGGTATGCGAACCTTTGCCTCAATTCTTAATAAATACAGTATGTTTCCTAACTTATGAAATCCAACGATTTTTACAAGTTACTCCATCATACTCAAACGCAGCCCATGCTGCGGCCCAATGAAGTTATGGTCGTTCTTCATAATAAGGCATATTGTGTTTTATGAAGGAATATAAAGTTTTATAGAAATACCAGCTTTTTAGCAAAGTAGAAAATTCCGTATATGTGGAAATCGGGCGTACTAGATAAACTTAAGATTTACATGTGGAGGGAGCCTGTTCATGCAAAACCACCGAGTGAATTAAGCAGCACAAGAAAAATTTATTTGGAAAATAATCCTTTTGTAAAATTTTCTGATACATATGCTTCCATATTATGTGCAATGTAATGTATGGCTGTTACCGAACAGCCCAAATTTCGAGTATTAATTCTAACACGTTTTCACGAGAACTGCTAGTTGTTTCTTTCATTTATGCATCGCTTGAGTTACGTTGGACTAAGGCAACCATGTTTTCGCGTGATATGCCCCATTGGGAGATCACAGGAGTAATATATTTCTTAAGTTCACGTGCGGAAATGCCGGTCAGAGACTAGTACTAGTAGACTACTAGTACTAGTAGATTACTAGTACTAGATTACTTGTAATCTATGTCCCGATCAACAACTGGCAAGACGTCGACCCGGTGGCTCAGTGGATAGGACTGTCGTCTATAGCTCACTGATCCCGGGTTCAAAACTCGAGTGTAGCGGCAGTTTCTGCGGCTATACTTGAGTCAGGTGTCCGCGACTGACGAAGGGAAATTACCCAGAAATAAGCGTATCTCGCGGTCCTAACGTATGCCAGTAATGCATATTTTACGTTAAGTTGGCGAGTAACATAATTGTTTCGTCATTGAGAAAATAAACTGGAAGAGTCCAGTCATCGCCAGACGAAACAGCCAGGG